CGTTACGTTACGTTACTTACTTACTTACTTACTACTACTACTACTACTACTACTACTACTACGTACGTAGTAGTAGTACGTACGGTACGTCTCTCTCTCTCTCTCTCTCTCTCTCTCTCTCTCTCTCTCTCTCTCTCTCTCTCATATGTGCATCTGCATCTTGTGCTCCTACCTGCCCTGCTGAAAGTGGTTTCCAACAAATGGATAGTCGACATCTCTGAGCCGTCCCTTTGTAATATTTTCCATAGTTTGAAATAGAAGAGGCTGGTGTTGGGTGTAGACATTCTCCACACCCTGCAAAACAGGCGACGCCTCCATTATGACGATTACTTTTTTTGTGTAATTAAGTCAAGAAGCATTTTGACCATGTAATGGATTTCAAGTATTGGGTCGAGAAAGCAATTTCAACAATATACCTTAAGCCCACGAGCCATGTTTCGAGCAATATTAAGGAGGTCACGATTTCCAAATAAATCACCTGTTCGTTTATCCACACCAGCTTGCTTCAACAGGAACTGGACAAGCTGAGGTTAAAAAGTCATGAAAACATGGAGCCCTTCAGCCTCATCGCTAAGCAAAATGCGTCATACATATGCATGCTAACAGTGAGAAGAACCAAGAAAATAGAGGAATATGGGTTGAGCTAGATTACACCAGACTTGTATTTTGCAGAGCGGGAAGCTAATTTGTTGACAAGCTGCATCAATTGGACAGGGCTCTCCTTCTCATAGCGCAAAGCATACAACATCACCAGGCGTAAACGGTCCACATCTGAAACACTGTCATTATTGAGAAGATTCATGACTGCCTGCAAAAGAATTTACAAACCATCTCATATGGAAAAAACCATTTCTTATAATGAAGCAGTTAATATATGTTTATCAAAAGCTCAACATTAACAGACGTAATGGAAGAAAGCATCATAAAATAGCAAGGAATCTTATCTCAAAAGGTCCACTACGATTATGCACAGTAGTTGAGGTAAAGATAAAATGAGAAGCTCTCCCTGTAGGATGCATTACTGGTAGTGATTCTAATACTGTCTCTAAGCTCAGTCAGGTAGCCCAGTACCAAGGTTTTTATGCCTTAGTTACCAATAGTGCCTACCGAGCAAGAAAAATCTAGCAACAGGAATAGGGAGCATTAACCCACTAGAAACCTATAATGATCCCAAGTTGTAACTTTAGAAAATGAATTTACAGTCCGGTTACCTCAGCAAATATGTGGAAGAGTAGTGACCTGTCTCAACATTTTTTGATGAGATGCAACTCAACCTCAATGTTCAACTCAATTCATGAAAGAATGGATTCCAAGTAGTTCGAATGGCTTTGTGTCATTTCCATAAACTGGAGTCAGAGAATAGAAATACACAAAAAGTCCTACAGTAGATCTCAGAGCCAAACAATCTCATTATAGGTAGTAGACGTAACTCAGTATTTCAATACTACAGCAGAGCTAGCTATAGTTCCTTGCTGTTACACTTCCAAGAGATCAATGAAGAGCCTAAAACATAAATCAGTCAAGAACACCATTCACGCCAGCCTAGAAATTTCCTGATTACTAGAATTTTCTACATAGGAAGTTAATTCAATTCACAATGATGCAGATCCACAACAATAACATGTTTTTTCTAGTTATTTCCTTGAATGTTGTAGAAAATTAGACAACTTGAAATAACCATCATGAAGATACTTAATAGGATGCCATATAAAGTAGCTTTCATAAAAATTGGTATTACCTCAAAAGCTGCCACCTGTCCTGAGTTACAAGCCAAATCCTGTTCTGTTTGAGAAACTAACATAAGCCTTCTCTCTTCCACTATCTTGCTCATCTCTGTAACCATTGTCACATGCTTTGAGACATTCCCATGCATCTTCCGGTACTCTGGATAATTGTCAACAAATTTTGCCATGTCCTCTGCGAAAGCTCACTATAATGAATAACGTATAAGAGTAGCAACTACAAGAATGTGAAGAAATGAATTCCAGAAAACCTTGTTTACAAGACTAATGGCATTATGTCTTTGGGTGAGAAGGACTGAACTGCACCTATTGTCTGAATATTCTGGTTACTCTTTGCAATCTGCTGAAACTCGTCCACCATTCGCTTGATATTCATCCCAAGATCTCCAAAATTCTCGTACATGTTAGCTTTAAAAAATGCATCCTGTTCTGATGATAACACCACCTCCTAAAAAGCAAGAAGTAGCAAATAATGCAATATCATGTAACAATAAAGTAGGATAGGAAAATTATTTTATGAAAATGAATTAGAAGGTGAAATACAAACCAGACCTGCTGATCCTTGGGAAGTTTTCCCACATTTCTCAAATCAACTTTATTATCCTGAATGCCAATCAGCTCATGAACCATTGCCTGGCATCGATGTACGGATAAGGTAGTTAAAATATGAGCTATATGGTCTAGGTAAGCACAATAGAAAATGCAATCTAGTTCTTCTTGATATTAATGACCAAGTAGCACACAAACTTACCTGGTATGTCCATTGGTTCAGCAATGGGGTAACAGGATCATCTCTTCTATCAATAACTAATAGCAGAGGGGAAATTTCAGTTCTTCTGAAGTCAAAAAGGCCAGTCTCCACTTCATACATTAGTTTCTGCAAAAAATATCTCTAACAGTAAGGAAGACCAGAACCATCCATAATCAATTCATCAATTGAGAAATCAAATTCATACTATCATAGGTCACAACAAGAAAAAAATTTGTGATCCAAAAACATAATTTGACACGCCAAATACAGAAATATACACAAACCAGGGCCTCCTGTGCAATTCTTCTTGCAATTTCAGAGCTTCTTTGGTAGCGAATAACAGGCCGACGCTTAAGTGCCAGAAAAACCGCAGCAATTCCATCCACAGCTCGATCACAAAAACGCTGCGAACTAGGAGGATCGGCAACTGCTGGAAGCATATATATGTGATTTGAGGGCAAATTCAATGTGAAATGGTAAGGATCAATAGCCACAAAATCAGCATAAAACTCCTGCAAGATCACATACATCAAATCAATGTAATTATCCACAATTTAAATATCTAAATGCAAGGAACAACTCAAGTAGAGTAGCCTTGGACCAACAGAATGTAGAAATAAACATATAGCACCACTGGATTATTTCTAGATACACAATGACCTAATGGAAAACGAATTTGGGTTTACAGAAATAACGCAAAAACAAATAACAAGACAGTCCACGAAAATTACATTACATGCAAACAAGAAGTACATGATTGCTTGAAAGATAACATATTTTTACAAAATATAGTATCTTCAGTGACCAAGGGGAATGACTGACACATTCATAACAACCACTTAGAAGGGAATTCTGAACATATAATCAAATTGGTGAGGCCATATGCGAGAACTTCCAGCATCTAGAGAACAGAAGAAAATCAAGTAATCCAGCACAAGTAAAAAAAGGTAAACAGCACATCACAAAATATATAAATTTTAAGGCAAAGTCATTCCCACAGTTTCCGGAATATGTGTTTCATAAGCACCCAGCATATATTTGTAGTGTCAGATATGACTTCAAAAATCGACTTCTCTGAAAATTCACTAAAAGAAAATTGAGAAAATCAATAGATTTGTCAAGCTAAAATGTTAAAAATGAGGAAAAGACAAGGAATATGTTAAAGAAAAAAGAAAGTTCCAAAGAAAGAAACATGTCACAAGATCCACACTGTGTCCAAGGTGCCAAATAAGGGATATATCAGACAAACAAGAACTTAAGAAGGGTATAAGTGTTTGTTAATAGATGTGGAATCTTATTCCTCTCTACAATGGCCCTAGAAAGAGTTAGATGCATTCAAGAAGTTGAAATTGATTAATAGGAGCCTCCATTTAGAATCATACTCACACCTTCAAATGTTGCATAATATAAATAATGAGCAAAAACCTCCCCTTGACAATATAGATGAAAAGAAGTACGTGCAACCTTGCGAGAGAACATGAAGTTAAAGTAAAAGCGTGCAACACTCTAGAACTTCCTTTGAATAATGTGACAGTGGCATGTTGACAAGGCCTGGATAGCCAGAAGTCTTCAATATAGCCCATGATCTTTCAAAGATACACCCATAAAGTAAAGTGATTTGTCCAGGTTGTACGTGAAAATTTTGGGGAATAGGCAGACATTAAAGCAAAAATGATTGCTTGCTACTACTCTCTACTATATATTTAACTTGAAGGAAAAATAGAGGAAAGAAATTGCATACCTGAACAGTTGAGGACAACCCCGCCCCCTCCTAAACAAAGTGTACTTCTAGAACACTAGATTGTATGTGCTTGTGTAAGTTGATGAAATGATAACCAATGTTTTTAAACTCAGACCAGGCCTCAGACTCAGCCATGGCCAAAGCTGAGTAACATGGCCAAGTCTGAGTGGACACAACCAAGTCCAAGTGGACTCGGCCAAGTAGTTTACATATAGCCCAAATCGCCATAAAAATTAAACAAATAAGATATTGTTAAAAAATAAAAAAATTACATAGAAAGTCTAAATAAGTTGAACAAAATATATAAAACATGGATTTAAAACAAAATATTTACAGTTGGAGACATTTCAAAAAAATCCAAAAAAAAAAGAGGAAATATAAAAATAGGTCATACTGCAAGAAAAACTCACAAGTCATCATAAAAGAGTCCAAATTACATATAGAATTTTTATACATTAATTCCAAATTTTTCTATAATTTTTATGATTTTCATTTAGTTAACCCGAGTTTTACCCGGTTCTCGGGCCAAGGTGAGAAAATCATCAGAGTCCTTTTTTTTTTGAGGAAATCATCCGAGTCCTTGAACATTGGTGATAGCATTAGCAAGGGTTACTAACTGGTATCATATTATTATTGATAGAAAATACAATAGCACAAACCTTAGGAAAATAGCCCTGGCTATATTGATTAATACAACCACAATCAGTTAAAATTTAACACAAGTGTTAATGCGTTGTGCATATAAACTACGTTGTGCATAGAAACTATTATTCTTCAGCACAACAAATACTAGCATGAATAGAATTACTATAACATTGGCTATTATTTACCCACAGGTTGTGAACTCAACATGGTATAGTGGGGCCTAAAGGGTTTTTAAGAACACGTTTCTTGGAATCTACAGAGATTTCCCAATAAATTGTTAATGATGCAGATCTACTAAATAGTGATATTTGGACAGTCAGAACCCATATTTGCTTTTCCAAATTAAAGCTAAAATAAGAAATTCCTGAAATTGTATTCCATAGTAACATGTATTGCAGTTAACTTTACATGTTTATGAATTGACTATCGGCAATGAATGTTCGATAACTTTAACAACTGAACCATATCAGTAATTTCAAGCAGAGTTACAACTCAGTGGATTTTCTCACCAACAATCCTTACTTGAAATGTGCCCAGTGACTACTGTTAGGAAGAGAGTATACTTGCTTCATGTACCACATTCATAAAATTATGATGGCTGCCTCTATCATTTCCAATGATGTGTCAACTATGTGCATATCTAGCTATCATAGTGTTGTTCTTATTCCATGACATCAAGAAGGACCCCGCCACTCTAATGTGTGGATCTTTATCAACCATATGCCACTTAGTCTTGATTAGACTTGTTACTAGCATGAATTGAGCTCCATTTCTAAATATACTGTCAAAAGAGGGAACTGATCACTGCATGAGAACGTTAAAATTACACAGATTTCATTCACAAGATGTCACCTGGACTTGTTGCACAACTTCATGTTCATCCGAGTCAGCAAGGACTTGAATTTGATCGAGCTTGAGAATATTAGAGAAGACTGCACAGATAATGATTTGGAATCCAGAATTAAAATCATATGAACAAGAGAGAACCCAAAAACAGACAAAGCTTGAAATCCTGTCTCATGCTCAAGAATCATCAATTTCTGTAAAACCCTAAAGAATTTCCAATGCCAAAAGATGACTTACATAAATGGTACTCCCCAAACCTTGGACTACCTATTTGTCGTTTCAGCCGATCTATATTCTCTGTTATTGGACGAAGAAAATAAACAGCTTTGAGGTGCGCCATTGCTTCCTTGGATATGGAATCAACCATCTCTACCAAAAAGACCTCCTTCTGAAGTAACTCAGACTGAGAGTATACTACACTTACAATGCTGACCTGAAACCATGAGAATTCCCGACTATAACAATTAGCAATTGTATAAAAAAATCTGTCTCCATAAGGAATTCCAAACAATTGGGACCAATCAGATAAAAATTCTAAGATATCCTGCTATGAGAATTCAATCTACGAACATTAGAAGTTAGAACCAAGGAAATTTTTTCAGATGACAATAGCATGGCTTGCAAAAAACCTTGTGTGATTCATAAAAAGTTGGCCACTAAAAAGTGTAACATGCAAGGCCTAACAAGCAGGTTCATCTTAGGCACCCAATCGTATGTTCTTGTCATTGTAACATAAAGTGAGTAAGCAATACAAGGTGCTTTGGGAATCAAAGGTAAAATAAGACTGTAGTAGTGCTAATTATGATGTGTTTTACTTATTCGAGAAATACCATTTATGAAACGAGAATTCCAGGGGACATCCACCAATTATGAAAATGGAAAGGTTTGAAACACATGGAGAACACTTCTGTGTAAGTGTTTTGGCAACTCTCCTTTCTTTTCATTTTCTTCAAGCATATAAATCACGATGCTATGTCAAACCAAATTCACTTTTCTGGACTGATCAAATTGAGCCTAATTAACTTGATTATTTTTTTAATAAAGGCACGGAAAGTACATTGTTTTGATTTTGGCTATAGCATTAAACTCGTTGACCTGGTAAATCATAATCTTCAATCTTCATCTCTAGGGCAAGATTGAAATCTGACCGTCAATATTAAAAAAAATTGAAGGCCTACCTCAAAGAGGTTAGCATTGAAATTATTAGATCCGGAGCACATGCCACACACTTGCACGTGCACATGCACGTGTGCGTGCGCGCACACACACTCAATCTATAAACTACCAAAAATTAAGCTCAGGGGAGCTTCTGTCAAACAGGATTTTCCCAATATAAATAGGAATTTTTTTACATTTGATATATTAGTATCAAATTTAAATATCCAAAAAGGATTACCAATTGGCTAGACTTCAAAGATATCCTTTGCGCATTTTCTGCTTCACCATAGTCATTGATTTGGGAAGGTTTCTCGAGATTCAAGTCAAACATCTAATTAGGTTTGCGACTGTGAAGGCCGCCAGCTGAATTGATTTTAGAGAGAAAAAGTATCTGAAATTTTTTAGAGAGAATATACATGAATTTTTAGAGAGGGAAACCTCTCAAATTTTTACAGAAAGAAACTATTTCAAATCTTTAAGTTGTAGAAAGAGAAAGCATCTTAAAATTTTAGAGAGAAACTACATTAAATTTTAGAGAGAGGAACTACTTAAAAAATTTTTAGAGAGAAATATCTCAAAACTTTTAGAGAGAGAAACTATCTCAAATTTTAAGTTTTAGAGAGAGAGTATATTAAAATTTTAGAGATTAGAAGGTATATCAAATTTTAGATAGAGAAACTACTTTACAATTTTAAGAGAGAGAAACTATCTCAAATTTTATGTTTTAGAGAGAGAAAATATCTTAAAACTTTAGACAGACAAACTATATCAAATTTTTGATAAGAGTAAATTATTTAGAGAGAAAAACTATTTCAAAAAATTTAGATCGAGAAACTATCGCAAAATTTTTATAGAGAAAAACTATCTCAAATTTTAAGTTTTATAGAGAGAAACTAAATGAGAAGCTAAGCAACAATAGGAGCCCCGTAACATGTATTATAAACCGAAATTCACTACTGAGGCAAACCCAATTTCAAATACAGAAAATAATCATATGTAAGATTATATGAACAGAGTGAGTACCGTTTGGGAATCGAGAATGAGAACCTTCATGCCTGAAATGTCTTGCAACATCCGGGTCACATAGTCCCTGGCTGCAGAGATCAATACCATATTTGCACAGATGAAGCAACGCACTTTTTCTTCAATTTCAAGATCCCATTTCTTGCTTCTTCATAAAGAAATCAAAACCCTAGTTCTCTGCAAATGCAAACAATCTTACCACCATCATCAAAATGAAAACCATCACTTTTCAGTTCCCAAATTTGAGTTACCAGTATGGGATTTGTGCTTGAATTGTAATAAGCTTAGGAAAATGTCCATAAAATGGTCAAACCACCTAAAAAATCCGCGGGTAAATCAACTGATTTCTCAATAAAGTCGTTACTGGAAAAATTTATCCAAAAGAACAAAAGAGATGAGATGTTTAACATCTCATCCGTTTCTTTTGATTAATTTCAAAAAATCCCCTGAAAAGACACAATCACTAGTTAGAACAATCGATATTTTAGGCGTGTTTTGATAAATGGAAAATTTTCCCGTGGTTTAATAAATTTCTTGATGAAAATTTGTTGTTCTCATAAAAGCAATTGGATATTAGAGAAAAGTATGAAAATTAACCACAACTCTCAAATGTTGAACTTGACCTATCAAAAACATTACCCTAATGAAAAAAACTTAAAGGATTCAAATGGAGTAGGATGTTATGTCAACACGCAATAAAAAGATCGAATTTGATAAAAAATTTAAATGAAAGTGAAAAAAATTGGAAAACCATTTTGTAGAGAGAGAGAAAAAAAAAAAGGGGACTAAATCCAACCAAATATTCCAATGCTTCAAAAGCAATGCGTTCTCTTTTACCCAACAAAAGAACAATCGGGTTTTCATGGCTACAACACCCAGCTCAAACAGCAAAGTCAGTAACAATTTAGGGTTTTCAAAAATGAACCTTAAGTTTTAGGAAGGAGATTATCGTTTTGGGTACCTGGTTGATTCAATCGAGGGCCCATTACTGAAGACCAGAAATGGCACTAGTCTTGGATCTGAAAGGCGCAAAAATGAAGAACAAGAGAGAGAGAGAGAGAGAGAGAGGCCTCTCACGTGGAAAGAGAGATTTTTCCCTTCAAAAAATGGAGAAATTGCAGAGATGGGGGAAAAGGATGGTTCCCAGATAGATTTCTCATTCATGTTTTTTCGCCATTTTCTCTATGAAATAGATGATTAGGGTTCGCACATGAACGGTTCAAGGACCGTATTAACAAGAAAAAGGCTCCTGATTTGGAGGCTTTGGGCTTTTTAATTAATGGTCTAGTGAGAAATTCAAAGGAGGAGGAAGTAAGAGAGATCAAGAAGCTAGTTAGGGACACTAATCTTGTTATCCTGAATAGAGAAAGATCATCAGCTTGGAGGATATTACACATCTCTCTACCCCAAATCTTCAATCCCAAATACCTCAGGCCATTCATGCACTTGTACTCCCAAGTCCAAAAAAAGCCGTCAAGAGAACGACGCCAGATTTATTTTAGAGAGAGACCAAAGTCCAAAAAAAAACAACGGCGCCAGATTTATTTTAGAGAGAGAAAGAGAGATCAAATGGAAAGGATAAGGCCAGCAACCCACCATTCTGGCAGCCTGTGAGCACTTCAGCACTCGAAATCATGTGAGAGGAGCGAGCAGGGTTAGATGGAGAAGCAGGTTGTCTAGAGACAGAAAAGGTGTTCACAGCAAAAGAAAGGCAACGGCCTTAGCAGGTCACCTATGGAGCCATCGGTGTCTGAGGTTTGATCCCTTGCCTTTCACCAGCATTTGCGTTGTAATTTATATCCATGGACGATGGAATCAACCATTACAATGTCTCGTGACAAATGAAATATTTTTATAACATGTCCAAGCCACATGCTCTCTCTCCGATTTCTGGTTTCTTGGAATGATACCAAAAAAATTTGTATTTGTGCTATAATGTTACATATTAGATTAAGGGTATGAATGTCGTAAGATTAAAGCTATTCCAATGAATTTAGGTACCGCACCAATACATGATAAGACGAGAGAGTAGACTTAAATGACTCAAATATGTGTGGTGACTACTAAATACATCACGATGTATGAATTAATTCAAGTAAAAAGATTGAAAAAGGTGAAAAATACGACCAAAAAAGCATAATTGGAAGTAGCTTGAAAAGATACGAAAACTTGTGGATTAAAATATGACTTTTAATAGAGCTAAATGGTAAACCAAGATTCGTATAATCGATGGTAATTAATTGAAAAAAGTAATAATTATGATAATGATGCTTTTAGAGAGTTGCAACCTTAAACAATCAAACAAAAAAACACCTCCAAACTTTGTGATGAGATATAATTTGGTGTTGAAATTCTTAAAGATAGTGTGAGACCTGTTTTTATCTCTAATATAAATTTCTAAACGCAAAAGATGTTTCACATCAAGCTGATTTATAAATGCATGAAAATCTAAAAAGTAGATGATCCAAATAATGTATTGCTAGATGTACTATTTTTAGGTAAAGGTGACAATGGGTCGCTAATGGGTTAGGTTCGACTATACCCAAATGGTATTCGGGTCCAAATTTTGGACCCAAAGCCAACTCGTCAAGTCTATAAGTTGGACTCATACTCATAGTCTTTGAGTCCCAGGTCTATTCCATTTGGCTCTCGAGTCTGGTCGGGTCCATTACCACCTTCATTATGAACTTCTTTTTATTTTTTTTTGCTTTTTTTTACCATCATATACCCATATTATTGGCAACAAAGTCACAATCACCGGCCATAAATTTCAAATCGTCTGATTTGTTGTTTAATAGCTAAAAATGACTATGAGTTATTATTGTATACAATCTTTAATACATATAAACTAATAAGACTTGAAGTATTTTATCTCCAACAATTTACGGGTACAGATCAAGTCTAAACAGACCCAGACTTGGACCCAAACCCAAATAGTACTCGGGTCCAAGTTTTGGACCCAGACCCGACCCATCGAGTCCAAATGTTGAACCCCATACTTGGACCTGTGTCGAGAATACCCAACAGGTTTCTGGGTCAGGTCCGGGTACATTGCCACCCCTATTTTTAAGACCACAAATCTTTCTTCTTTTTTTTTTTTCTCCACATATATCGAGATGATCAATGACATGTTTTTCCATTATTAAAACCACATTTTGCAAAAGATTTTAGAGGTGCACCTTAGGTCCACATTTTAAGGTGCTAACCTTATATAAGCTTTTTCCTTAGATTAAAACTAAAGAAAATAAGCATCAATTAAATACAATGCAACTGAATTAAATTAAAGGGCGTGGTTTCCATAAGGTTGCAACCTTAAACAATCCAACTAAGATTTAAAATGTGCGCCTCCAAATTTTATCATAATATATAATTTTGATTTAAAATGTTTTTAGGATTATCTCGAATCTATTTTTATATCTAATTACAAAATTTTAAATTCCAAAAAATAGTTAAAATCCAGTAGATCTATAAACATATGAAAATCTTGAAAATGAACGGCATATATAATATGTTGTAAAATGCATTATTTTTGAGACTCAAAATCTTTTTATTTTTCATTGTCATAAATCTCCACGTCGAGATAATCAATCACAAGGTTTATCAACATTAAAACAACATTTTCTGATAGATTTTTGAAATGCATCCGTAGTTCTACATTTTAAGGTTGCCACCTTATATAAACTTTTTCCTAAATTAAATCATACTTGATTTGAGAGAGAGAGCGAGAGAGAGAGATCAAACCATGTTATGGCATAGTTCAAATTGCTTACTCAGAGAGAGAGAGAGAGAGAGATCATCCCATGTTAGTTCCCACCATCGATCTTCAAATTGCTCACTCTGAGAGAGAGAGAGAGATCATCCCATGTTATGGCATAGTTCTTCCCACCATTGAGCTTCAAATTGCTCTTTGCTAAAACACAGGAGTACACTCTAACACAGTTCATGCACTCGGGCACACACACGCAGAGAGAGAGAGATTTTGGCTTTCCTGGCAATGCTTTACATAAAGCACCGTCTTCATACACATGGGAACAAGATTAAGGCATACAAAACTTTCTGTTCCTGTGATAAATTAGATGTCTCATTGCACAAGGCGAAGTTCCAAGAAGCAATTGAAAGGGAGCTTGAATTGCATCCTATTAGTCCACTACTAGTCAATCGATTCAATGGAGAGAATCATGACTTACCAAAAGGAGAAGATCTCACTTCACATGTAAAGCTCTTTTAACCGTTTAGAAGCTTCTAGAACATTCTCCCTGTGACCAAAGGCACTCACTCTGATAAAACCTTCACCAGCTGGTCCAAACCCACTACCTGGTGTTGTAACCAAGTGAGCTTTCTCAAGAATCTCTTCAAAAACATCCCATGAGCTTCGACCAGGAAAATGTACCCAAGCATAGGGTGCATTCCTCCCTCCATAAACCTTAAAACCGAGCGATTTGAAAGTATCCACTACTATGTCTGTGTTCTCTTTGTAGAAACCAACTACTTCATGCATTGCCTGAAAAGAAAATGTCACGTCATCTGAGCAAGTTGGATATGCACCAGAAAGATGGAAACATAATCCTCTCTCTCTCTCTCTCTCACACACATACACACACCCACACCCACACCACACCCACACACACACACACACACCCACACCCACACATCACGTATCTGACCTTTAAACCCTGAGGGGAAAGGCATTCTAGTCCCCCAGCCTGCGCAATATTGGATGCACCATTGAAGGTGGTGCATACAATTCTATTGAAGTCTTTGGCAACAGGGAAGCCATCTGAAAACACGAGCTGTTTTGGAATAACTGTCCAACCAAGACGAACACCTGTAAACCCCGCATATTTTGAAAATGATGATATCTCAATCGCAACCTGCAATACATTTCAACACTTGACTTACAGATAATATATATTTGTCTCATTGGAATGGAAAAATTAAAAAGAAAAAAATCACATAAGCCAATAGATAGAATGTTTACCTCTTTTGCTCCAGGAATTTCAAAGATTGAGCGAGGGCAGTCATCTGAAATATACATTGCATAAGCTGAATCATACACTATGATAGATCCATTATCCCTTGCGAACTGCACTAACCGAACCAACTGTTCCCTAGTAGCAGCAGAACCAGTTGGATTGTTTGGAGAGCAGAAGAAAATGATATCAGTTTTTGATACGGTTGATAAATCAGGGAAGAAACCATTTTCAGGGGTGCATTTCATGTATTCAATCTTCCCATACTTCTCAACATCCTTTTGAAATGGGCCAGTTTGGCCCATAATGACACTGGAGTCCACATATGCCTGTCAGCATAAACAATCAATCAGAATGAGGAGTCTTCCTTAGGCAAATCTATAACTCTTTTTATGATTTTTAAGATAAGGATTCAGAGTCAAATACAAAGAAAGCGAAATTGAAATATGAAATAATATTTCACAGTAACATGAATATGAAACGAACAATGTACTCTCGGCACAAATGTCATTCAAATGATGACTCAATTGAATGAATTTTCTTATGTTGCTCATTAGGATATTTTTGTTGAACTCCCAAGTTACACTATAAGCCACAATGATTACCGGGTATGATGGATCTTGCACAGCCATCATCACATTAGACCCAAAAAGGATCTGCATGAAAGAGGAGCATTTTTAGTTGTCCTGGTCATTGACTTGACAAAAATCGATGTTAAACATGCAAGGAAATATTAAGGCAGCATTAGGAGGTTGTCGAAAAGTTCATCAATAGGATGATTTAAATTGCACCATACATGGCATTCAGGAAGCACAGAGCCCAATACCCACTCAACAAAGAAAAATACTCAGTATAACTTGTAAAGAAAATATCCCTATGACAGTTTAGTTGGTACACGTGCATATAACATCATGCATGCACATACATCCAATTACATATGCATGTAAGAAGTATGTGTATTACTTAATCATTAGATGTCCAAACTTGACTCAATTTTGAAATATAAACACAGTAAGCAAAATAATAGAGCAACCTGAAGGCGTGAAATGTCACATTTTGCACCATCTGAGACAAATATATCAGTTTCCTGAATACCAAGGTTGCCATAATACGTCTCTGCTATTGCAGCTCTCAAATTCTGAATATGGAAATATCATAAGCAACACATGTCAGTTAGCATTATGAATGGAAAAACGAAGAAGTCATATGGAAAACAGAAAACCACATAAGATGAATGCTTCCACCATATTTGTTTGATACCAAAATCATCACTACCGTACAAAAATGAACTGGGCTCCCTGATTTTCCCAATGATTGAGTATGCGGCATAATCAGGTGAAATGAACCAATTTCTAAAATCACTTCAGAAATAGCTCTATGTTTTTAATGACACTTCAAAAATAACTCTTATGTTTTTAATGGATAGATGTTAAGCTAAAATAGGTTAGTAAACCATATTTAGTAAAGATTCCATATGTAGTTGAACTTTCTCAAAAAAAAAACAGAAAAAAGAACAGATTCCATATGTAGTTGGCTTATTTGATAATGACATGCTTAGGGTTTAATTACATGTTTGATGGAGGCTATCCTACCTCATTAGGACCATCACAAGTGTGCTGGCTAAGTATAAAGTCACAATAAATGCTCACAGTGAGGTTCATAGATATGGTTTACAATCTGATTCAGATTCATGGTCAGGATGAATCTAACTACTTTTGAGGAAGCCAACTTAACCACTGTTAGGATCATTCCTTCTAAAGTTGATGTCCAGATTGGAAATAAATAGGAAAGAGTATTCCAAGGAAAACAGTTCATGAGGAGCCTAAGGCTTTCAAGACACAGCTCATGACAGTTCAAATGCTGCCAGCCCGAACACAGGAAGTGGTCATGAGATCTACATTCCATTTCCCCATCAGAATCGTAGAATATATTGTTTTGCTCTGCTCATAGTGAGGTTCATAGATATGGTTTATAATCTGATTCAGATTCATGGTCAGGATGAATCTAACTACTTTTGAAGAAGCCAACTTAACCACTGTTAGGATCATTCCTTCTAAAGTTGATGTCCAGATTGGAAATATATAGGAAAGAGTATTCCAAGGAAAACAGTTCATGAGGAGCCTAAGGCTTTCAAGACACAGCTCATGACAGTTCCAATGCCGTCAGCCCGAACAAAGGAAGTGGTCATGAGATCTACATTCCATTTCCCCATCAGAATCGTAGAATATATTGTTTTGCTTCTCTCACTATGCCTTCACCTTTAAAAATTTACTATGAGAGCCTGTTTGGATGACAATTAATTTTATCTGGAATAAATGATCTTATCTAAAATTGACAATATTATTTTGTTAGCTAATTGGTACGTATCTATCTTATATATAATATTACTTAATTATTTAACTTTTTTCGTGATTTCCAGCTAATTATAGCTAGTTCTGGCTAAAAACATTGTTTTCTAGCAAATTACTCCGAATAAAGTAAAAACAGCTTTTCAAAAAAAAGATAAACTCGTATGCCAAACTGCCTATCAGTTTGTCTTATATAACTTTATAATGAAGACTGCCAAACAACAGATAATTCATTATCAGGATCAAGGCTTAAAAAAAGCAAATCAGTGGCCCCGATCGGCCTCCCCAAAAACCAAGTTGGATTGGTGGATCGGTGAACCGGATTGGAGAATCAGCCAGTTTTGGCATAGAAATATTCCAAAAAGTACTATAATTTCTTAAAAATCTAGTTTCTTAGAGTTTTTTAAAAAATAGTAGTAATTGCATCATAGTTTTTCACTATTGTATCAAAAATATGGAAAAATTGAGAAGTTGTTTCATGTTTGAGTGTTTGTTGTCGATTAAATTCATTTTATAGTCAAAATGAAATTTAAAATGCAACTCATGGCAATAAAATGGATCTTCTAACTCAATTTGTTGTTTTTTGTTTTTTATTAACTTAAAAATTTTGGTTTTTGAAAGAAGCATATTATTCATTCTTTTTCTAGAAAACAAAATCTTCATTTACTACTTTTGTTTTTGCTATTGGTGTGCACAAAAATTTTAGAGAGAGACGAATTATTTTCGTGACCCAATATATCAATGATTTCTTTAGCTAGAGAGGTTTAAAAAGCCAAGATAAACCAAAAACCATTTAGAGGTTTTCTCATTAAAATCGTTACAATAGTATATTTTCTCTCTCATGGTTTCTTCTCTCTATGCATCTCCAATATTTGAACAGCCTTTCATTTTTAATTTTTGAAAGTTTCAACATCTATTCCCCAAACGGAAAACCTAACAGCTCAAAATAAAAAAAAAACCATTGATAGGTTTTCTCATTAAAATCATTACTATAGCATGATTTTCTCTCTCATGATTTCTTCTCTCTCTCATTAAAATTTTTACAATAACATATTTTCTTTCTCATGATTTCTTCTCTCTCTACATCTCTGATATTTGAACAGCCTTCGAATTTTAATTTTTTGAGAGTTTCAACACCTATTCCCCAAAAGGAAAACCTTGGTTGAAATATTTCCACACCCTTTTGTGAAATACCGATTTTTAAAATCCTTGAATGATTACATAAATGAGATAGATGGTTCTAGAGAAGCCCAAAAGAAAAAAAAAACGATAGGTTCTGCTTAAATGAAAGGAAAGATTCTAGATAGAGAATAAGAATCATGAAATGTTGTATTTAAATGATGTAGAAAGAGAAGAAAATATGAAATGTTGTAGAGATAGGAGGCTAGCACAAGAATCAACTTTCAACCCACCGTTGGAGACTTGACAAAGTCATTCATGGGAGGTGGGAAATAGAAGAGTTGGCAAATAATGAACCGCCTGATTAAGGGCAGAGAGATAAAGGAAAGCGAGACCTTAATAGAATTAAGATTTTTAAAACTTTTAACACCCTTTTCATGTCCCACATCAGTGAGATAGAAGGGGTATGTGGGGGCACAGGTTTATAAATGGCTCCAAGCTACACTAAGTTTTGAGGAGATTGGTTATTAGGAGTAGGGACACGTGTTCCTAAAGGAGAGGAGTGACACCTCTTTCAAATGATAACAAAGTTTGATAGTACAAGGGAGGGTGGCCCCCACCACCTTTCCTTTAACTAGAAAGATTTCAAATTTATTTGCCAAACAGGTAAAATGTATGAGCCAGTCCCGTTTGATAGAACCAGCCAATTCTGTTAATGAACAGGTAGAACCCTCCAGCTCATGAGGGGGCCCAGCCAAATCCTGATGTATAGCAGGATCGGCCAGTTCCGATTCAGATCACCGAATTTTCAAACCTTGATCAGGATTAATTTTATGGAAACAATGAATTATCAATGATAACATCTACATCCAAACGGGCCCCAAAAGAATAAAGATATGCTAAGTACCTTTTCACCCTGCTCAGCTCCATAGCCACTATAACCAGCAACAGTTGACAGTGCATACGACCTCTACAGACACCACAAAGGTTTAGATTGGGGCAAATCAGCCTTTTTTAACAATAAATTCGAAACCACACATAGGAGTAATTGAAGCTTCAAAAGGACAGCATATAAGATTGTTCTCAAGTGTCCTTTTCACATAATGAGCAACTCTTTAGGACTTGTAACAGCATAATATGGGGAAAATGCAGACCAAATAGTGAAGAAAATAAATACAAGCCGAGTTGCAATACTTTTTTACCTCTGCCATAGCAGAAGTAATAACTTCTGGAATAGGCTCAGTTGTGTCACCAATTCCAAGGCTTATCACCTTCGCTTCCGGATATTTCAACATATGCACTTCTCTTCTTCTAGCAATCTGAGTTTCAAGAAAAATACAAAGAATCAATCAATCAACAGCTAAAATTTTTCCTTCAAACTACAATTTATTTCTCCTGAAAGGTACCATTTATCATTTCCATTATATTCTATGTAACACAAAAACAAGAACCAGTGATCAAAATAAATCCTCCTTATCCTTAAAAGTATCCAATGATAGAGACATTCAAGGATTTTTTGAAAAGAAGACTGCGAAGTGAGAAGGTCTAAAAGTCATAAAACAGAATGAATAGAACATAATGGTAAAATAGTTATTTTTCTTATATAGTTCTATATTTCAACATCCAAAGCACAAAACTTATAGCAGGCCATATAAAGTGCAAACTCAATATGTAGGGGCTTTAAGGGAATTAAATACTGAGTGACATTCCAACACTCCCAGAGAAGGGGTTAGATGCTGGAACCATGTAGAGCTGAGACATCGGAACAGAATGTTTAATAAGCATTTTTTCATCCAAGCCTCTTATTGAGCAGATTCCTTTTACCAGCCACAAACTAGAAAGCCAAACTTAATATAATAATGCTCAATAAAGTTTCAGAAAACTGTAGAGAATTTGATATAAAGCAACACTCAACTTCATAGAACACTAGTAAAAAGTAATAAGAAGCATATAATGTAATCGAATCTTATACAAATGGATTCCCAGCAACTCACAAATCATAAATGTGAAGTTTGCACAAGGTGTCAACCTTAAACACTCAAAGTAAGGCACACCACCGAATCCACCGAATCTAGGTACAATTCCAGTGCCAAAAATCCCATTGATGGCCATAAAATCTATTTAATGTAGAACAAGAAGATTGAAGGAGATAGAAGAGGTAAATTAATTTAAAAAATTTCTTAAAAAAAAAAAACAATTCAAGCACACTGAGTTGGATAAATTTGGCTAGTAACCTAGAAGGCTTGATGTCTAAATGAGATGTATTAGAGGAGAAGTTATGTTAGGGCATTGAAGGAGATTGAAAAGGTAAATTAATTTTAAAAAGTTCTTAAAAAAAAAAAACAATTCAAGCACACTGATTTGACGATTCTCTGTGAGTGAACTCAAATATTTTGAATTTATCAGCAATCAATAGCAGCAAAAAAGAAAAATAAAGCAAAAAAATAAACAGACTGATTTTAGCAAAGAACTCAAATCCGTTTATTTTTTTGGATCAATAGCTACAACTGTGGTTGCAGAACCCAAAAAGCACTTTTAGTCAGTTGTAGAACCCAAAAAGCAGCTTTAGGGCATTGGAGGAGATTGAAGAGGTAAATTAATTTAAAAAAGTTCTGAAAAAAAAAAAACAATTCAAGCACACTGATTTGATGATCCTCTGTGAATGAACTCAAGTATTTCAAATTTATCAGCAAACAATAGCAACAAAAAACAAAGAAATAAAAAAAAAAAAAACAGACTGACTTTACCAGATAACTCAAAACCGTTTATTTTTTGGAACAATAGCTAGTTGCAAAACCCAAAAATAAATATTGCATATCTAGAAATAAATGTTAACTACAATTGTGGTTGCAGGCTGCCAGGTTTTAGCTGCTAGTTGAAGAAGATGGGGTTGATGGGTTAGTTGAAGAAGATGGGGCTGGAGGGTTTTAGCGCTAGTTGAAGAAGATGGGGTAGTGGGTTTTAGCTGCTAGTTGAAGAAGATGGGGCTGGAAGATGGGGCTGGTGGGTTTTAGCTGCTAGTTGAAGAAGATGGGGCTGGTGGGTTTTAGCTGCTAGTTGAAGAAGATGGGGCTGTTGCTAGTTGAAGAAAATGGGGCTACGTGATTTTTGAGGTTTAAATATATATGCGATTCGGTTGATAGTTGAAGAAGATGGGGGTTTTAGCTGTTTTTTTTTTTTGTGGTTTATTAGGAGGTGAATCATGGGATTTTTGGCTCCTTCACCGCCCTTATCGCTCACAATAGATTTCCTGATTTTTTGGGAAATCATGGCTAATCTTTTTCCATTCTGATTTTTGGGAAAATCATGGCTAATCTTTTTCCATTTCCTTATTATTAAAGTGTACCCAAACAATAAAAATATAATATTTCCGTATAATCTATTTTCATGTAATATATTTCCAGGTTCCCAAACGACCTCTTAAAGTTTTTGAAAATGGACTTTCAATATAATGTGTTACTAGATGCACTATTTTTAGGACTCAAATTCTTTTTCTTTTTCATATCCATAGATCTCAAAGTTAAGATGATCAATTGTAGGGTTTTTAAATGTCAGAACAACCTTTTTGGGTAGATTTTTTAGGTGCACCATACTTCTATAGAATAAGGTTGACACGTTATATAAAAAATTTTCGGTCAAAAATATTGAAAAAATGAAGGAAAACACTAGAGCAAGTCTTTTTTCATAGATAACTCTCACAACTTTTCAAATCACAATGGTGATTAATGAAAGTAGTAAAAAAAATATCATTTGCCCTAGAAACGGGAGAAGAAAATAAAAGGAGATCATTTTCCAACAGCCTTTAGTATGTACTATGCAACACAGTGTTTCTACGAAATATAATCAGGCTTATTGTTGCTGACCTCTGGAAACAAATAACCAGCTTGCAATTTTGCCATGTTTTCATTTCGAGATACCTTTGTCTTGTAAACTGCAGACACAAAAGCAAGAGCGGACAGTCCCATCAACAATTTAAGTTCTGAAGTTAACCATCTTATCAAGACGTTTAACCATTATAACCTGAAAGAAACTAAACCATAGAAAATAACAAAAGGATGGAGTGGAAAGAAAGTAAGATTCATCAAAAAAAATTATTCAACAAGGTGTAAGCCGTTTACCTCATGAGACCCAACAGAAACATAAAAACACTCAAAAGGTATAAAACTAAAGTGAAAGGGACAAAGATTCTTTTTCATTAATGTTATTTAATTTTTTTCTTATTAAAATTTTTACACAATTTAGTAGTAGTTTATCAACTGTTACTGCTAATTACAGATGATTTGCACATAAAAAAGGAACCATGTTACTTGCCCAGTAACATTCAAGTCAGCTCTGTACACACTGAAGTAACCAGCCCATCAACTCCATTCCTTAAGTCTTACTAAACCTAGAAATCACATCATTCTCCAGAACACACCAGCCCATCAACTCCCTCTGCCTCCCAAAGCAGGTCCAAAGTCAACTGAAACGAACTAAATCCTGAAAAAACTAACAGGTGCATGTGCATCCCTGTCCCCCAAAAAAGCCTTTTCCAGCTAGCCTCTCTAATTCCATAAATAATTACCCTACCCACCATATTCAACGTCCAAAATGCCCTTGAAAACTGACATGACATACTACACTTACTAAACTCCCCATCCCCTCTATCCAAATGTCCAAACCATTGCTGTCATTCTATGATGCAGAGATACTTCTATAAGCTTAATGCAACAGTGCTGCACCGGGTATCCAACAATATTGATTCTAGATATAGCTCGAATACTTGTAAACAAAATGCATATGTATCGAAAATATAATATGTAAATTATTATGATATAGTATATATATGATATATACTTGCCAATCATCGATGAACTGATCGGATTAACCAACCAAAGTTTGCTTTAGTCAGCCCCCTCTGAGGGAGATGATCATTAGCTAATGCTACCTTGAACAAAAGCTCCTAGAGAAGCTCCCTGTATTGGATGCACACATTTCCATATTATACAAGCAATTAAAATATAGTTATAGATGTAATAGACAGGATGCTTGTATCCATATCCTTTCCTGAATGTCGAGATATGCCAAATTGTTTCCCATTCCTTGTACCGTTTCCAAATCCATACCCATGTATCTGCATGTTAGCTGCCATTTATATCAAAACTTCAAATTTCATTTATCTACAACCTTTTCTTTTTGTCAGGGTCAATAGATCCATATTAACATTCACAGAAGATACAAGATATCCAACCAACAACTCTGCAATCCAACATAGAGCATACTATCAATCTAATAACAACCTCCCCTATAAACAAACCATTCCACATTATTTTTCTCTGCCGCAAGACCAGCTCAAACAAACCATACATACTTGGCCATGGGTAGAAGCATCACAAGATTTCATTACAGACCGTCCATGAAAAGACATTTCCCATACATCTGAACTTCTACCAAGACCCAAGAGATCACCTCTTCCTTAGCATGGATGCCCTTAAAGATTCTAGATAAGCTATGGGAAGTTCAAAATAGCTATGAGAAGTTCAAAATCTATCAGAAGATTGTCAAGAAATTAGTAACCTAAATCATCAGCAGAATTCTTTCTAAACTAAAAATTCAATTCCCAAAGACTCTGAATTAAATCCCTCTACCATGCAGTTGACATAATACCACCTGGTCCAATTATACAATAAAATTCAATGTCCAATCATTCGCTAAAACCAAATAACATATTAAACAAAAGAATCTGAAAATCTGCATTGCAAGCCTCTGAACTATTGGCTACAACAAGTAGCTTCTACGTCATAGACACAGTGGATGTAAATCGACTAACAACTGGGGCTAGCAATTGAAGAAGTGACTATTAACCCCGAGAGAGGTCTTATTGAGTGGCTAAAGTCTCCTACTGGTATACTCTCCATGTCTCAAAATTGTTCTAAGTTCTCTTTAAATAAAAACTACCATCATCAATGATAACAAATGAAATGTATGAGACTTAGAAGTACAATAAAAAAATATAGAGAGATATGAATCATTTTTAGCTTTTTCCTTGGAAGATAGAAAAATAACGAAACAACAGCATCATATTCAAAACAAAACCAAAACACCCTTCTTTTGAGGACATTATCTATCCTACAATACCAGGGATACTTAAGAAGAAGATTTGGCAATGTCACAATAATGTGAGCTGCAATTTCTTGTTACATTGCAAACCATATATGAAACAGACCAACCCAAAAATTAAATTATATTGTATAAAGAGACTAGAAGTGAACCAATACCAGTCTGCATCATCTCAACAGGCTCCGCAATGCATCTACATTTTACATTTCTTCTCAAAAGAGGTAAGGTCTTTGATGTACTGAAATAACAATGCAATAATCAATATACAACACAACCTCCACCGTTAGAGCATTTGATATCATTATCTTTGAGATTTTAACATGAAAAAGTCATGCAAAATTTGCACGAATGTTGAAAAAATATAGTGTAATGGATGGTACCTGGAAAGAACGTCATCATCGCCAAAGAAGGCACATGAAGATGAGGAAAAGTGAGCTGATAGTTGCAAGAGCGCCATTTTTCTATCTTGGTTTCTTCTTCTTACCTCCAATTCCCCTCTAAAAATAAGAAAAAACCTATTGAATAAATAAATTCATCTACTAAACTCTTTTAATTGCTTAAAAATATGATGCAAAAAAAAGGAACCCAAATGATAAAAACAATCAAAGAAGTAAGGATCCTGCCAAGAAACCAGCTTACCTAGGCCAAATTAAAAATTTATGCGTTGCTCTTGCAGCTAACATAATTGTAACTTTGCCAAATCTTGTTAATTATCCCCTGGTATTGTAGGATAGATAATGTCCTCCAAAGGGTTGTTTTTTTTGGAATATGATGCTGTTGTTTCGTTATTTTTCTCTCTTCTAAGGAAAAAGCTGAAAATGATTCATATCTCTCTATATTTTTTTATTGCACTTCTAAGTATCATACATTTCTTTTGTTATCATTGATGATGGTAGTTTTTATTTAAAGAGAACTCGGAACAATTTTGAGACGTGGAGAGAATACCAGTAGGAGACTTTAGCTACTCAATAAGACCTCACTCGGGGTACATAGTCACTTCTTCAATTGCTAGCCCCAGTTGTTAATCGATTTACATCCCCTATGTCTATGACATAGAAGCTACTTCTTGTAGCCAATAGTTCAGAGGCTTGCAATGCAGATTTTCAGATTCTTTTGTTTAATATATTATTTGGTTTTAGCGAATGATTGGACATTGGATTTTATTGTATAATTCGATCAGGTGGCATTATGTCAACTGCGTGGTAGAGGGATTTAATTCAGAGTCCTTGGGAATTGAATTTAGGGAACTATTGGGTTTGGTCAAATGTAGTTTAGAAAGAATTCTGCTGTTGATTCAGGTTACTAATTTCTTGACAATCTTCTGATAGATTTTGAACTTCTCATAGCTATTTTGAACTTCCCATAGCTTATCTAGAATCTTTAAGGGCATCCATGCTACGGAAGAGGTGTTCTCTTGGGTCCTGGGAGAAGTTCAGTTGTATGGGAAATGTCTTTAGTAGCTTTCATGGAAGGTCTGTAATGATATCTTGTGATGCTTCTCCCAAGGCCAAGTATGTATGGTTTGTTTGAGTTGGTCTTGCAGCAGAGAAAAATAATATGTGGAATGGTTTGTTTATGGGGGAGGTTGTTATTAGATTGATAGTATGCTGTATGTTGGGTCGCAGAGTTGTAGATTGGATTATCTTGTATCTTTTGTGAACGTTAATATGTTTCTATTGACCCCGACAAAAATAAAAGGTTCTAGTAAATGGAATTTGAAGTTTCAATATGAATGGCAACTAACATGTAGAGATATATTGGGTCGCAGCTAACTTTGGTTGGTTAATCCGATCAGTGATGGTTGGCAAGTATTTATTATATATATACCATATCATAATGCATAATAATTTACATAATATATTGTCGATACATATGCGCTTTGTTTACAAGTAACAAGTATTCAAGCTATATCTAGTATCAGTATTGTTGGATACGCGGCGCAGCACTGTTGCATTAAGCTTATAGAAGTATCTCTGCATCATAGAATGACAGCGACGGTTTGGACATTTGGATAGAGGGGATGGGGAGTTTAGTAAGTGTAGTATGTCATGTCCGTTTTCAAGGGCATTTTGGATGTTGAATATGGTGGGTAATACCTTTGAAGGCCTATTATTTATGGAAACGGTAAAAGGAACAGGATACAATTTGGCATATGTCGACATTCAGGAAAGGATATGGATACAAGCATCATGTCTAATACATCTATAACTATATATCAATAGCTTGTATAATATGGAAATGTGCGCATCCAATACAGGGTGATTCTCTAGGAGCATCCGTTCAAGGTAGCATTAGCTACCGATCATCTCCCTTAGAGGGGGCAGACTAAAGCAAACTTTGGTTGGTTAATCCGAACAGTTCATCGATGGTCGGCAAGTATTTATCATACATATACCATATCATAATGCATAATAATTTACATATTATATTTTCGTTACATACGCATTTTGTTTACAAGTATTCAAGCTATATCTAGTATCAATATTGTTGGACACCCAGTGCAGCACTGTTGCATTAAGCTTATACATCATATAATGACAGCGACGGTTTGGACATTTCGATAGAGGGGATGGGAAGTTTAGTCAGTGTGATTCTCTAGGAGCATCCAATACAGGGTGATTCTCTAGGAGCATCCGTTCAAGGTAGCATTAGCTACCGATCATCTCCCATAGAGGGGGCTGACTAAAGCAAACTTTGGTTGGTTAATCCGAACAGTTCATCGATGGTCAGCAAGTATTTATCATACATATACCATATCATAATGCATAATAATTTACATATTATATTTTCGTTACATACGCATTTTGTTTACAAGTATTCGAGCTATATCTGGTATCAATATTGTTGGACACCCGGTGCAGCACTGTTGCATTAAGCTTATAGAAGTATCTCTGCATCATATAATGACAGTGATGGTTTGGACATTTCGACAGAGGGGATGGGGAGTTTAGTAAGTGTGGTATGTCATGTCAGGTTTCAAGGGCATTTTGGATGTTGAATATGGTGGGTAGGGTAATACCGTTGAAGGCCTCTTATTTATGGAATTAGAAAGGCGCTGGAAAAGGCTTTTTGGGGGGCAGCAGGGATGCACATGCACCTGTTAGTCTAAGTTTTTCAGGATTTACTTCGTTTTAGTTTTAGTTTACTTCATTTTACTTCGTTTAGTTGACTCAGGCTAGCTGGAAAAGGCTTTTTTGGCGGAATCAAGGATGCACATGCACATGTTAGTCGAAGTTTTTTAGGATTTACTTTGTTTTATTAACTCCAGACCTGCTTTGGGAGGCAAAGGGAGTTGATGAGCTGGTGTGTTCTGGAGAATGATGTGATTTCTAAGTTTAGTAAGGCTTAAGGAATGGAGTTGATGGGCTGGTTAGCCTTCCAGATGGGTGTGTACAGAGTTCACTTGAATGTTACTCGGCAAGTAACATGGTTCCTATTTTATATGCAAATCATCCATAATTTCCTATTTTATATGCAAATCATCCGTAAATAGCAGTAACAGTTGATAAACTGCTACTAAAGTGCGTAAAAATTTTAATGAGAAAAAAATTAAATAACATTAATGAAAAATAATCTTCGTCCCTTTCACTTTAGCTTTATACCTCATGAGGTAAACGGCTTACACCTTGTTTAAAAAACAAATTTGATGAATCTTACTTCTTTTCACTCCATCCTTTTGTTATTTTCTATGGATTAGTTTCTTTGGGGTTATAATGGTAAAACTTCTTGATAAGATAGTTAATTTTAGAACTTAAATTGTTGATGGGATTGTCTGCTGGTTCTTTTATGTGTCTGCAGTTTACAAGACAAAGGCATCGCGAAATGAATACATGGCAAAATTGCAAGCTTATTTGCTTCCAGAGGTCAGCAACAATCAGCTTGATTATATTTCGTAGAAACACCGATGTTTTTGAACAATTGATCAAATGCCTCGTAGGAATGGGTGTTCAATTGGAAAACAAATTGTAGCGCATCATTGAATGCCTCATTCTTCTTGAAATTTGTGTAGCACAGTGCATACCAGTGATGATTCAAAAGTAGGCTAGTCGAACCGGACTCGCCCAGTTCGACACAAGGTTTTCGGACACCCCGTGTCGGTTCACATAAAAGACTTAAAAGCGCCTGTGTCTAGGGAGAGCCGCCGAGTTTTACGCGAAAACACGCTCGTGTACTATTCACGACTCGATGAACAGTAAAACCCATGAGCAATGGTTTAATAAACAGATCGATGCCCCAGATCGGGCATCTCAAAAACCCATCCGGATCGGTGAATCGGAGATCCGGATCAAGAATCGTCCAAATCGGTCGGATTTAGCCTTAAAAAAAATCCGAAAAATTTATTAAAATTCATTATAAATGTTGTTTTTTAATAATCCAATAAGAAATGGGGGTACTCCAATAAGAACTTTCATTTTTTTGCATCAATATGCGAATATTGAGATGTTATTTCCCTGCATGAACTATTGTTAACCATTAAATATACATCACACAAAAGGATAAGCATAGAATTATCATGGATGAAGTATAACATCATACATGGACTACAATAAAGCATACAATTCATAAAATACAACCTAATAATAAAATGATAGATGACGTCATTCTTCATCTTGGTCACGCTGGTGCCACTGGTTGAATTCGCGTGACTTAATCTAAGAACGAATCATCCGAATTAGTGGGCACCTGACTATACCAAATCTATGAGTGTTAGTGTTTTGTTGCGGTCGTAATCCAAAATCCTCGAAGCTTGTCCATCCTTCATAGTCACCTACACTGTCGTGCTCGTCCTCCTTTGCTATTGGGACTCGGTATGTGAATAATTTGGTTCGGATAGGGTGGCTTCAAAATCATCATCTCTCTCATTTTCCCTTATACCCCCTTCTCACTCTCCATCATTAGGTGCAATACCACTGACATCTCCGACGAATTGTGAATATGTTGGCGGGTTGTTTCCTCTTTCATACTGCTCATCAACTTCTTCAAGATCTTCCTCACCGATAGCCTCACTGAACGCTATCTTGTGCAACACTAGCTCATCTTCCTTTACTACCCATTGTTCTGCTGTGTCTGTGACAAATACTGTGTCCAAGTCTATCGGTCCGTAGTCTTCAAGCTTCCTTCTTATTTGTCGCTTTCAGAAGTTTAAGTTGTAACGATCGTAAACTAGTTTATGAACCCTCTCCGAAGCGAGTCGATTCCTCCAAATAGTGTGCAACTATTGGAACGTACTCCAGTTTCGCTCACACCAAGTAACAGAACATGTCTGGAAGAACACCTTGATTGCTATCCTCCTTAGGTGAAGTGCATCAGTACCATCTATCTTCCACCATTCAATTGGATT